CAGCCAGCCCCAGCCGAACACGGCGTATATGTCTAGAGCAACGCAACATTTTGTGGTGTCTTTTTGAGAACTGTCGCCTACCTTGGTTTGGAAACTAACTTAGTATATAGTCTACGCTGTTGGTATGATGTGTGGTGACTGTTGCTATTTGTACTCGGAGCTATATATTGTCTTGTCCCTGATGTATGAGTGCTTGGTCTATCTATTCTCGTGGCAGCCTTCGCTTCATTATGTTTATATCTAGGGGTGTATGGTTTCACGGACTAAATTTTAGTCCATGTCACATCAGATGTTCGGATGCTAGTTTGGAGGACTAAATATGAGTTAATTATAAAACTAATTATACAGATGGAGACTAATTTACGAGACGAATTTATTAAGCCTAATTAATCCGTCATTAACACATATTTACTGTAGCACAACATTGTCAAATCATAGACTAATTAGGCTTAAAAGATTCGTCTCGCAAATTAGTCTCAATCTGTATAGTTAGTTTCGTAATTAGTCTATATTTAATATTCTATATATGTATCAAACATCCGATGGAACAGAGATTAAAATTTAGTCCGTGGAACAAACACGCCCTTAGTTCCTAGCTGACCGTACGTTGTTTTGGGCACGTGAATCTGAAACGCAGAGCCTACGGTTATCCCCATGTGCATGACGCTATTCTATCTCCGACATGTATCCGTGAGCTTGGTTCGTGTCTTTGCTTTATGTGTTAGGCATGGCACTACCTGCGGTGCCAGCCACCCATCACTTAGTATATGCCAAAGCATAGCATACAGAGAGCACCAGTACTGGAGAGCACCTCGTTTGCACCCGAGGCAACTGGCAGTATGGGTAGTGGGGATATTCACCGTGCTTTTGTAGGATGGACGACCAGCCTGTTTGTTTGCTCGTAAATGATTATAAATTTCTAGTTGGGAATAGTGTTTTTCTTTCACATCAAACCAGCCAGCAGTAAATAATCCACGATATGATACGGCCTTCCGAATAGCCTGTAGGTTCCAAGCCTTTGCATGCAACATCAGTGCGGGTATGATCCCGGATACCTACAACAAACTATATGGGCTACGTCGCTAGAGATGGTCCAGCCCACAAGACGAAGACTTACGGTGCACGGTACTGCTCGGCGTGTACCGCAAGACATCAAGGGCGATATTATGAAGATGCTACGAGATCTGTTAGGATATCCTCAATCCCACGATTCTTATAATCTGTTATTACTTACCGGTTATCTCCTAGATCTAACCGACTTTAAGCCCTACCCCGGCTATATAAGGCGGGTAGGGAATCCATCAAAACACACGCAAAATCATACGATAGCCAATACAAATCAACAGACCACAGGAGTATGGTATTACATCATGCAGACGGCTCGAACCTGTAACTCTTGTGTCTCTGTTGTCTTCTTGTTCTTGATTACACGCACCTCTACCGATCAATCTACCTTCGTGGGATACCCCTCGGAGAACTGCCGACGATATTCTGTCGACTACCGGTGACTAATTTCTAAGCAAATTAGCAAAGGCCACCAAAATACTCATTCGGAATGGACCCAGTCAGGTCATGTGCGTCGGGTACCACATATCAAATACCCAGATCTCCTCTATTTCTGATAAAAGGGCTCAACAATCCTTTGACCTCTAACACCCGTGGTGTTAGGCACATGATAAGTAGTGGGTTAAGACTTAAAAAACATATCAAATAGTTCTTCATATGCTCTAATCTAAATTAATACATTTATTGATGAACATGTAGATTTTAAAATCTTTTAAATAAGATCAAACTATTTCTGCCAAAAAAAAGACTTCAAAATTATTAAATAATAATTTATGTCACAAATGTGATAAAAATTTTAATTGCGTAAAAGAATAAGTTAAACATCATTCATGACTGAAAGAGAAATTAAAACTAAGGATATGTTGAAAAGCTTGTTACCACCATCTGTCCCAAATTATATCATTTTGTATTTTTTAGGTACATAGCTTTTGCTATGCACCTAGATATACAATACATCTAGATACATAGTAAAAAATTGTGTACCTAGAAAAGCCAAATTAACCTGTAGATTGAAACGGAGGGAGTATCACATTATTAAATGATGAAGCTTACGTAAGTTAAATAACTTTTATTAATAACGTCAATACTTGTGATGCCAACAAACTTTTCAATAGTGCTCAAACAACTCTAAATCAACTCATGATCAAAGTTAGTAAGGTTTTGCACACGAAAAATCACAAGAAAATGCTTAAAAGGGTAAAAGAAAACCTAAGTGTCGATTAATTGATTGATGCCCTGTTTACGGATGTTTATAAAATAATTTTATTAAAACACTAAAAAATGTGCCAACATGAAAAAACATCTATAAGGAATGTATTTTACAGTAGAAAAAATTATATAGTACAAAATTACGTTGAAAAGCATTTCAAATGGAACCATAAAGTTTGAATGGATTAAGGAAAATCAGCCCTTTTGACTTTAAGCCTAACTCTAAAAGATTGGCTGACATTAACCTTTTGGTGAATCACGTTCTCCCAATTTTTCTTAACAACTCACTTCAGTGCTAACATGAACTACTTAGCATATACCATAGAGAAGGACAATAGAGTAAACACTTCACCGTTAAGCGTGACTGGGTCACTAATTTCGGTCTCTAAGTAGGCTAAAAACTATAAGTTTTCAGCAGGGTTCATGTCAGCTAACAGGGCAAACTAGCTTTTATGGCTACCAATCTCTTAATCTGTTACTTTAATCACCTTGGTCATTTTACATATATTCACTATAGAAAACAGAAATTCTTTGGCGGCCTAGAATTTCCTCAAGTGCCGAAATCTCTTGCCGCCAAGGAATAATCATTTCCTCCATGGTTGTAGTAAATTGCCAAGATAATTTATATCCTTTGCGGTTCCTTTCGGCCTTCAAGAAAATATGCAAAGACGGCCATTTCCTTGAGTGCTATATTGTATTACGCCAAGAAAATCACCATTTTGAAATTAACCTCATATGTAGAAATGATTTGAACCAAAGTTGTAGTAATATGAAGAGATCTAAATTTTTTCAGTTCAAACTTTTTACATTTGAATTCGGTTACGGTTCCCAATAGAGAATACAAAAGAAATAAATCAGACACTTAGTCAGAAGTGACTTTGAGACATATTAGTAAAGAAGTCCTTAAATGGTAGACAGGGTTAGGAGAAAACAAGATACTCTATCTGGCCAGTCTTAGCGTGAGTTTTATGTCCCTGTTTACAAGACTCAAGATGTTGAAAACAGTGTAAACAAGTTTCATCCTTATTAAATTCATTTCATCCCATAGAACTTTTATAATCTCTTTCTCTCTCTTCATGTAAACTATACCATGTTAACTTATTTAATGTTCATAAAACTCCCGTTGAGGCTGGCCTCAGAGACCAAACACACGCATCCCGAGGAAAGCTGGCCTCAGTGACCAAACGCACGCATCCTAAGGAAAACGACACGCGTCGATCCAAGCGCAATATGTGGAAAATAATCAACGGTCAATGCGAGACTTGCAAACGACGCGTGACAAAAAATAATAGAAAATATATTTCTTCGTCTTCGCAGAACTTCGCAAGCTTCGGGGGCAGCATTAGAGACGAAGGACTTCTCGTGGTCTTCTTTCCGACCGAGTGATTTCTAAGGAGCCAATGTGACTTTGACTAAGTGTAACAAAAAAGGACTGACTTGCCCTTGTTAGGATAGGAATATTCTCATAATCTAGGGCTGTTGAGAGAGCACTTTGGTCCGTCCGTTGTAAGAAGAAGCGGTATAAATAGAGCTCCCTGTCAATAAAGAGGACGCCTTTTGCTAACAAAAATTTCAATGTAATGCCTTCGATTCTCATTTCAGCTTTCATTTCTCTCTAACTAACCGTCCAAGACTTTGGTCATGGACAACAAAACCATTTCACATTCGAGCATTCAAAAGAGCTAAAAAAACAAAAAGTAATTAAAAATAGAAGGAAAAACAACGAGCCCATTTGATTCGTTATTGCCAAATGGATAACCATCGGTTGAGAACAACAAAACTATTTCCCATTCGAGCATCTCGGAAACTTTGGAAAAGCAAAAGGTAAACAGCAAAAAGTGAAACGCTCGAAAAACAAAATGGTAATTGAAAAATGAAATAAAACAGAAACAACAAAGGGCCCATCCGGGTTCAAACCGGAGACCCATCGATCTGCAGTCGATTGCTCTACCACTGAGCTATGGACCCATTTTGTTCATTTTGCCTTACATATTCTGTCTGGAATGAACCATCCAGGGATCCAGACAGTACGATTGGATTTCTTCTCCTCTGGTGAGTGGAGATCATCATTTTTGCAAAAGGAGGACGTACTCCTACTACTACTCCTCGAGCACGAAGCACCAGACAGATTGAAAACAAAACAAAACACTCGAATCGAAACGGCGCATAGAAGCTTCCTACTCTGTCCGGTGGCGCCAAGCACCAAGCAGTCCCTCCTTCCGCAAGCCCGGCGGCACCAACCTGCATTGACTTGCGGCTTGTAGACTCCTCGTGCAGGTGCAGGTGCAGCAGCTGAAAGTAACCAAACTCGATTAGCTTAATCTCAGACAAGACAGGCGCAAGAGCACACGGCAGAGGTCTCGGGTCTCGGGAGCACAATCCAAACCAAACTAAACCTACACCATTAGCTTCCAAATTAAGCGACCAGCCACAGCCAACCAGAGGTTGGATTAAGCTATAAGCCGCCCCCACCCACCGCTGTCGTGTCGATCGCCTTTTCAAACCTCCACCTCCCAAACCATTGGCGCCTCCTCTGCAGTGCAGGGCTGGGCTGCAGGTTCTGAAGGAGTCAAGAGGCACCCCTCGGCCCTCGCCACGCTGGTCGCCACGGCCTCGCTCTTCAAAACCAAACACGTACCAGAGCCGTGCTTGCCTGCGTCTCCTTTCCACTGCTTCTTCCACACACTGCGCCGCAGCCAGTCAAGCCAACCACATTGAGCTGCGAGATGCCACCGCTCGACGTCGGCTCCCTCGTCTTGCACGACGATGGCGGCGCGGAGCTGGAGGCGTCGTGCGGCTGCGAAACCGCGCCGTCATACTCCGACTGCGACCCGTACGCCCCCGCGGAGTCTCTCCGGCTGCGGATCGGCGAGGACATCGACTGGAGCGACGTCGTCGGCGCCGTGGCGGTGCTGGAGCGGGAGGACTCCACCAAGGGCGCCGCCGCCAACCCCAAGTCGTGCGCCGCGCGCAGGAGCGCCGCGACGGCCGCGAGGAGCTCGCTGTCCGCCCCACCGGCGCCGAGGGCGGTGGCCGTGGTCATCGGCGGCCTGCCGGCCGCGCGCGACCATGGCGGCAGGCGCCGATCCCCGTGCCGGCTTCAGCTTCAGCTTGGCGATCGCGCGAGGGTATTCGAGTCCGGGGAGGCCGCGGCGGGTCGTCATCAGGCGGAGCCTGGGTCGCCCAAGGTGTCCTGCCTCGGAGGCGTCCGGTCGCAGCCGAGGACCGCGGCTGAGGGCATCACTAGTGGTGGCGGTGGGCGCCGGTGGTGGGCGTGGCTGGTGGCAGACGTCATGTTCTGCTGCTGCTGCTGGAAGGGTCGCCGCGACAGGAGGCCGAGGGCGAGCGAAGCCGAGTAGAGTAGCCAAGGCGCCACGGGGCCGGGGGACGGGGCATGGGATCCGAACATCAGATCGGTCGATTGTGTAGGTGTGCGGTGTGCCTGGCCACGTACTGTCGGCCACATGGATCCTTTTTTTTTCCTGGTTAGATTTGGGTTTTGTCAGTTCACGGCCGGTCGGATCGGAGTAGCTCGTGCCTTTCCTGTACATGCATCTTTGCTAGGAGTTCAATTTGAATTTGAACTTTGTCATGGCCCTCTGCTGCTCTGCCTCCACATTATTGTCAAGTCTCTAGCTACGTTTGCTATACAATTTTTTATGGGTCCAGACTCCAGATTGCTGATTGATATTTGTTTTAATCTCGAACTTTTGTGCCCGAGTAGCCTGTGATTCTAGAGTTTCCCCGCAGAGTACCAAGTTGACTGCATTCGAGGATGTGTTTTTTAAACCTCAATCGAGGAACGGATGGGGAAAATCAGTCACAAGAATCACTACAGGAAGGAACGGACGGGGCGGGAGCTAAACAGTTCGAAGAAAAGAATTTGACCGAGCCGGACCGTGCAGAAAAAGAATGAAAACGAATAATCAACTGAACGCAACGCAAAATTCGGACTGGAAGGTCAATCTTAGTGGGAGTATAATTTGAATTTAATACTGTGACATAACATATTTGATAACTTGACAGAATTAACTATGAAGAGCGACTCAACTATGAAGAGCGAGATAGAGAAAGTTTTATCTGAATGAAACTTGTTGTTACAGTTACCAACACAAAACCTGACGCGATATGGCCTAATAAACGTATTTGAAATATAAATGTTAATACTATTTTCTATATAATTAATCAAACTTTAAAAAAAATTGACTCATACAAAAGCGAGATATGCACACATTTTAGGACTTCTTTTGACGCGGGGACTACATTTATTCATTATTATTGGCAAACTATGTACATAGAAGAGGCTCAAGGGCGCCTCCATTTGCACCGACAAGACAAAACCGTCGCTACAAACCTAGTTCAGAACAGTGACAGGGATTACACACGACGAGCAGAGCTGTACAGAGAGCAAACGTGAAACGTTCCTCTCAATGCAATGCAGAGTACAACAGTGCAAGGAGAGGAGTCTATTTGCATGTACTTGTCATCAGCAGTATCCACACCATCACAACTCACAGGAGCACCGATCTGATTTGGCGATCAGCTCGGATGAGCCTCCTCACCCTTCTGCAAACAACCCAACAAGGAGTCAAGGACACGTACATGAATGATCAACACGAATATCAGAATCCAGTGAACATTCTAGACAGAAATCATAATCAAGTTGGTAGTAAGATAGATCCAACGTTTACAGCATCTCCAGTGAAATGAGAAAACTCTCTTCCAAATAAAATCATTGGAGGAGTCTCAAAAGATTTTATGGAAATTTTAAGGCCTACTGCTCCGGCAGGCGGCACAGTGAAAAACATCCACCCAAATGGCCGTTTCTTTTCTCATGGGAGACGAGAATGGAGGATACTCTTATTTACCTTGTTGTCGCCTTTAGCGGCGGCGGCCCTCTTGGGCGCCTCGGCCTTGGCCTTGTCCTCCTTCCTCCTCAGTTTCTCCAGCTTCTCCCGCTCCATCTTCTGCTTACTCAGATCAATCCCCAACTCAAGTCAGTTAGCAATTAAATTCGAAACCATCGCACTCGATCACACCGCTGCTCAATTAATCAGTCAGTGAGTCAGGCAGGCAGCAGTAGGTAACCGATCACCACCGTACCTGTATGTAGACGTTCTCCGCGGCGCGCTCCTCCTCGCTGAGCACCCTGCCGGAGGCCTTGTCGCTGAAGTAGCGGGACACGCGGGCGCCGCCGCCCACGCCCTCCATCCTCCTCGCCACGGCTGCCCACGCAGGCTGAGCAGTAACCCTCACCACGGCCCTTCTTGTAGCCATCCCCGGTTTCTCACCCACGGTATCTTCTTGCTCCGCAAGCAGAGTTCGCTTCCTCCCCAGGAACACACACGACCACGTCGACACGTTGCCGGTGACACTAGTAGCGGATCTCTAATCGGATCGGTTCGCGTAGACTATTTCTAGTACACGCCGCCTCCTTCCTTATCTCTTTCTAGGAGTAGGAGGGGTCTGTCGGTGTCAGGCCGATGCTCCAAACCTGCCAGATTCTCACGTGAGTCAGGATAAGGATGAGCCGGAGAGCGAACACGGTTTTGTGAAACCGCGACGGATGCACTGCACTGCACTGTATCCCCATCTCTCTCCAGTAACTTTTCCGGTTTCCCCCCTACGGTGGGCCCTGGGCTCACCAATGCTCCACTGGCCCAATCAAGCCCATCAAAGTTGGACCGACCATGGGCAGGACGGAGATCGTGGCATGGGCGACGGAGCAGATGGGGGACGATGGCATGGGTCGCCTCGCCTTGCTCGCGGCCCACATGAAAGAAGAACCCAGACAGGTCAACAACGGTAGGCCCCTTTGCCCAAGCGGATTAATTAGACTAGTACTGATTCTATAATTTTTTTTATTAATATCCGACCACCGTGCGAGATTAAGGGCCTGTTTAGTTCCACCCAAAAACCAAAAAATTTTGCGCAGTATTCATCACATCGAATCTTACGGCATATGTATGGAATACTAAATATAGATGAAAAAAAACTAATTATATAGTTAGGTGAGAAATCGCGAGACAAAACTTTCGAACCGAATTAATCCATAATTAGACACTAATTACTAAATACAAACGAAAAATGCTACAATACCCAAAACCAAAATCTTTTTGCCAACCAAAATTTTTTTTCCCAACTAAACAGGCCCTAATATCCGACCACCGTGCGATACTCTCACGTGCCTTTTAGTCCCCGGATCCAAAGAAACCACAGCAACAGCAGTAGCGGCCGCCAGAGTCCCAAGGAAGGGAGGTGTGGGGTAGGTGAAGTGGGAAGGCGCGCGGAGCGGAGGGGAGGAGGATGGCTGCGGCCGCGGGGAGGAAGGTGGCGGTCGCCGCCGTGCAGTTCGCCTGCACCGACGTCGAGGCGGAGAACGTCGCCACCGCCGAGAGGTATGCTGTTGCCCGCCCGCCCACCCCCGCCTACATCCCTAGTTAACCCCGCGCCCCTGATTCCCTCCCCCAAGGAGCCAAAATCGTAGGCGTTTAGTCTAGTCGCGGTCTCGCAGACGTTGATGAAGTTTGCTGGTGTTGTGATGTCTACCTCTTATCCTGCTCGGTAGCACGTGGTCCAGGTGCTGGCGGTTGCTGCTAACAAGGGGTTGATTCGTGATGATTTATACTGAAATCTGCATTCGCTGCGCACCCCTAGTACTTGATTTGTACGCAGGAGTTTGCTTTCAGTAACGGTGCCACAAGTAGTTGCTCTCATTGACTTTGTAGTCTTTATTTTGCCATCAAGTAGTGTCTATCCTGAAACAAATTCAGTAGTAATCTATACAAGTAATAAGTCTGGTCTCCTGTAGTATCTTCGGAATGTAATTTGGATTCCTTAAGGGTACAAAATTACAAATTTGGACTCCTTAAGAGTACAAATTCTGCCTTGGATTGGACAATCCTGTCAGCTACTTTATTCTCAACTCCATTCTTTTTTTTTTCTGTCAGCTACTTTATTCTTGCAGTGAATTATTGAGGCATCTGCTTTGGTGTTTGGATTCGGTTATGTATCTTGAGATGTTGTGCTTTTTGTTAATACAATAAAAATATGCATTTATGTATTAATCGTTCAATACAATCTTACATAACCATTTGTATCAGCTAGCTTCTTGGGGAATCCCAATAACAAGTTAAATGATATGTTTCTGTTTGTTCAGTTGTTGGGATTTGGTTACTTATGCTACAAGATCTGCTATATTCTAGTACAGTAAAGTGAAAGTCCGTTTCTGATTTTGTTTCTGTATTTGTATGGTGGACACCGCATAAACATGCAAACTACTGCAGACTTGGTTCTTCCGTATACATTTTAGCCTAGTTGTTTCGAGCTGCTGGTGGGGTTTTAATTTCTAGCTGCTGCGTTAAAACCTAAGCACATCTCGGTAAATTAGAAACTATATGTTTAACAAGTCAGTTTTCCACCCTTTGCAGTGTTAGCTCTTCTGCCACTTTTCTATGACGCTACGTTGCCAGGATTCTATTTTTCAATAGTTACAGTGCTGTTCCAAAAAAGGAAAACCTGGTTGGATGCTACAGTTACATTGTGTTATACTTTGTTAAGTTTGTTTTGATTATATATTATAGTGAAAAAAGAAAACTCGGAATTCCAAAATTTGTGTCGTCTTCACTTGATTTGCAATTCTCTTGCACCTCATGTTGGTACATCATAACAACAGTATGGTTTATCTTGCTGAATGGAATTTCTTGAACTTGCTCTTTTTCTAACTTTCTGTTACTCTTCTTTGCTACTTCATTTCCATACATGTAGCATATTTGAAGTCATATCTTTACTTGAGTCAATGTTCAAGAAGGCGCTAGGCGGTTTCTAGGCGACGACCCACGGCCTAGAGCCTAAGCGAGCCTAGGCTAGCCTAGGCGTTTCAAGACGTTTTCCTAATTTTGCATTCAGCGTGTAAACTAACAAGTGAGTAAGTGACAGCTAACTAGCTGAGCTATGCATTCAGTCAATCAGCTAACTAGCTAAGCTATACATTCAGTCCATCAGTCATTCAGTCAATCAGCTATACATTCAGAGTTCAGGCAATCACAGATACATACATGTAGCCATCAAAGGATTCAGTCAAATAACAGAGGAGAGGAGCAGGCTTTAGATTCAGTCATTCAGAGGCTTCAGATTCAGTCATTCAGACCACTTCAAAGTTCAAAGAAAACAGAGGAGGAGAGCAGGGGAGGACAGACTGACCTGCTGGCTGCTGCCGCTTAGGGAGGAGACCAGCGGGGAGGGGACTGACCGGCGGGAGGCGCGTCCGGCGGAGGAGGCTGCTCGTTGGGGGAGGGAGGCGCGCGGGAGGGAGGGCGGCGCCAGCGGGGAGGAGCGCGCCCGACGGGGAGGCGGGCGTCCGGCGGGGAGGAGTGTGCCCGACGGGGAGGCGGGCGCCCGGCGGGGAGGAGGGCGTTCGGCGGGAGGAGCTGTCCGGCGGGGATGCGAGCGCCCGGCGGGGATGGGAGTGCCTAGGGGTCCGCCTACCCCCATAGGCCAGGCGGGACCCCATCGCCCAGCGATTAGGCGCACCTAGGCGGGGAGGAGGCGTCGCCTTTTTGATCCTTGACTTGAGTGCATTGTTGTATCACAAAGCTATTGTATAGTTATGAGCTTGGTATATTTTCTAAATTTTTATTATTTCTTTTGATCTAGTACTAACCATTAGTGTCGATGTGGCTTTCATTTACTTTCACTGCCATTCTCAGCTTGACAGTCCATCAGTCAAAAGTTACAAGTTTTAGAACTTTTCTTTGTCAGTATTACATCCTCTTGTGTGTTCAAAATTCACCAGTTTTAGAACTTATTTTTACAAGATTTAGAATTAGAAATATATTCTGACTACTATAGGAGATTTAGACACCCATGGTTGGACTTATGTTTACTTAAAATGACAGGGAATACATGCTTTTCATTTTTAGCTATTGCTCTGTTTTTTCTTTTCTTTTTTTGCTCAAACGCACTGGAGAGCTACATGTCATTGCAGTAAAGAAGAAAGTATGATGTACAACACCCAGCACACATCCACATGCACCCATATTTAAACTATATCGCTGAAAACTGATCACTTGTTTAACAGGTTGATTAGGGAAGCACACAAGAAAGGTGCAAAGATTGTACTCATTCAGGTAAATTTATATGATAGCTATGGATCATCGAGATTTTAACTGCAATGCTTCATTTTAAAACTGAAAGCAGAAAGGGCGTAGGAGTTTGGACAGATATTCTCGTTTCTGTATTCTTTTTTTCATTCTATCTCTCTCTGTTTTTTCTTAAATGTCCTAGGAATTGTTTGAGGGGCACTATTTCTGTCAAGCTCAAAGGTTGGATTTCTTTCGGCGCGCTAAGCCTTACAAAGGCAATCCAACAATTATAAGGTAGACCTGCTTGTTCCTGCAAGCAGTCAATAAATGCATGTATTCTATTTCTTTGGCATTTACATGTGCAGCTTTGCCCCCCTCATGGTCCATAGGATGCAACAGCTTGCAAAGGAGTTGGAAGTTGTGATACCTGTCAGTTTTTTCGAAGAAGCAAACAATGCACATTATAATTCGGTGGCCATTATCGATGCTGATGGCACTGATCTTGGACTCTATCGCAAATCACACATTCCAGATGGACCAGGTAAGGTCAATAGTCTTTTCCTGTTCTGCTATAGATTGGGTTATCTCATCTAAAGAAGCTGCTTCTGTTTGTCAGGTTATCAAGAGAAGTTTTATTTCAACCCAGGTGACACTGGCTTTAAGGTGATTAATGTTCTCTAACTTTTTGTATATTCCTGACAAAAAATATAGATGTATACAATGTGACTTTAACTGTCGTTGATATCAGCAAAAATTCACTTAAATGCATTTACTGCTATTGATGCAGGCTTTCAAAACCAAGTATGCCACGATTGGTGTTGGTAAGTTATTTATGTTCTCTGCAGTGATACAGGCTCTTATTTAGTTTAAGTACAGTAGCACTAATAGTAATTAATGCAACATAATATCAATCAATTATAACTAATGCCATCATTCTTGACCTTGTAGGAATCTGCTGGGATCAGTGGTTTCCAGAGTGTGCAAGAGCAATGGCACTTCAGGGGGCTGAAATACTGTTTTATCCCACTGCAATTGGATCTGAACCCCAGGATGGTAGCCTGGATTCCCGTGAACATTGGAAGCGAGTTATGCAAGGCCATGCTGGTGCCAACTTGGTACTGTTTGTTGTTTTGTATAAGTTCATGATGCACTATGACCTTCATTGAGGAACCACAAAGATGTTTCTTCCTTTGTTGTTCCTCTTAAGTGATACTGGTGAAACAACCACTTCTCTGGTGACGTTCTGATTTCAGCTTGAATTATCCAGGTCCCTCTTGTTGCTTCCAACCGGATTGGCAGAGAAACTGTTGGGACTGAGCATGGCAAGAGCACGATAACCTTCTATGGGAATTCCTTCATTGCAGGTAATCTAGCTTGTGTATATCTTTATGCTGGTAGATAGAAGGGTTAAAAGTAAAAAACATGACTTCAATTGAAAATATGTGTCTCTGCAGGACCAACTGGAGAAATAGTGAAGCTTGCTAACGACAAAGATGAGGAAGTGCTGGTGGCAGAGTTTGACTTGGATGAGATCAAGTCGACTAGGCATGGCTGGGGGATATTCAGGGACCGGCGCCCTGAATTATACAAAGTGCTATTGACGTTGGATGGCAAGAAATAATCATAAGCTCCAATCTCGTGTGTGGTTATCTATCCTTGAAAAGGATATGGGCTCGGGGCTCGACAATAATGGGAAGGCACCGGCAGGCTCCACGAGTACTGCCACCACATCAATGGTAGATTTTCTCCTTCCTTGCCCTGTCCAACGATGCTTTTGCCTGCATTTGTACAAGCCATCTGGGTGCTTTGTGATATTTCACCATTTCATGTTCAGCAAAATATATCCTTTTCATGCAATGTAATTCTATGTCAGAGAAAAATTCAGAGCTCCAATTCATAATTGCATCAATGATTCCTTGTTATAATTTTGATTTATGTATGGTTAGCATTAGTCTATCAAAGTAGGAGGGTCATAGTACTTGGCTGAAGGTGCAGAATCAGCATATTTGATTCCAAATGCCATTCGTGATGGCTTTAACTGTCAACCATCAACTAACTTTGACATGTGACCTGTACCTTTTCCATCAACAAAGCTCAGGATTCTTGTGAACTCTGTGGTCTGTGAGACCCCCCTAAGTGCTCTGGTTTCTGGTAGGGTAAGTGCCACGCAAATACTAGCTTATTGGTTTTTGTACTTGGTTAAGGTTCGTTTTTGTACTTGATCAAGGTTCTAGACAAGGGTGGTTTTCCTTTGTTGATTCCTGCTAGGTCATTGAACTGCTTCACTAGCTTATTGCAAAACCCTAGCTATGGACAGTGAACATAAATTCCGCTATATTTACATCTCTCTGCAAGGGGGCAAAAACAAGACTGGAATTGGTCGGAGCCAAAATCTAAAACCCTGAACTACTCTTTCTCGTTCCCCTGTTGCGTCTTCTCTGGCGCCATTGCATCTGCTGGATCTTGGCCCTGGGCCTCCTGGCATTTGTCCTCATCGTCGTCCGGTTGGGGCTGGGCGTACTGGAGCTTGAACCGGCCGTCCTCCCGGCGCGCCTGGAGCAGCTCCCGTGACGGTATCCTGACCTCCCGCAGCACGAGCCGGCCGTCTCCCCGCTGTGGCCGGAGGTAGAGCCAGGGCTTCCCGCCGGCCCCGATCAGCGAGATCGGCGGCGGGAACGCTGGCCTGGCGGCGCTCCTCGCCCTCCCTGCCGGCTCCCCATCACCTCCTCCGTCACGATGCTGCCACTTGCACGGCAGTACTGCATGCCCGACGTCGACGTCGACGCAGGCGTCGTCGTCAGTGAGGTCTCTGAGATCGATGTCTCCGGAGCTCTCGGAGCCGAGGCCCTCGGTGCAGATGTCGAGGTGGTGCGACAGGAAGCACGGGGGCACCTTGGACGACGGTCGTGGCAGTGGGGGCGGCGGAGGCGCCGGCGCCGGTTCTGCCTTCTGGACGGCGCCATCGACGTCGTCGATGAACGTGTCCGGCAGCCGAACCTGCGCCGGCCCGCCATCCTGGTAGCTGTAGGCACACGCCGTCGCGGCCATGCACGCCTCGCGCGTGGTGAGGCGAATTCGCCCTCGTCTTTGTGGTCGGTGTGGTGGGCTTGAGACGTGTGGGAGGCGAATTTCTGCTGTGCTGCACCATGTCGAATTATATAGCAAGTGATCGTGTCATAATAAATCGCGATCTGCTGTAGCGCACGCGTTACATTACACAAGACAAGGAAGATAGGGTTTGGCCGCTTATCGTTCTGAGTACGGAGTACCCAAACAAATAAGGAAAGACTAGCATATCAGTGGTTGCCTATTTGGGTGAGATACAAATACAATTATTTTATAGGGAAATAAATAATAGAGAAGGCAAGACGGATCCGAATTCAGCGTGGCAATATGGCATGAAGCTGACAGACACGAGGAAATTATTAGCGATTGATTCCCGCTGTGTCCTGTTACTACCTGGGGTCTGTGGAGTGTAGCTAGCTGATCGATGCGGGGGCAGCCCCCAGTCACCCAGACACTACGATGTAGTGCGGGTGAAATTTTTACCGTATGTTTAGCGCCTGGACGTCCGGATGGGCTGCGTCCGCACGGGCTGGCGCCCGAACGCCTACAACTACTGCGCTTGTTTCACGTGGGGGCCCCTGCCGGTCTATGTCCCGTGCCCGCACCGGGTCTTGCACTCCGCACCGTGGCCCACGCGCTTCGTGTCCCGCACCGCTCCATGTTCCATGCCCTCACCGTGGAGCCCCCTCCACACCTACGCGCATGTAGGCGGGTCCAGCAGCTGTAGCAAGTGGCTGCTACATATGGGTCTCACTATAACATATGCAACACCAGATCTACTTTTGTAACATTTAGATAAAACACTTGAAACATATGTTTAAATCAATTGAAACACATGCAACATTCGTATGAATATATCAGGGAAACAAGTGTGTAGCCAGAACATATATAACATTGAGATAAAACACTTGTAACATATGTGTGAAACATATGCAACATCCGGATGAAAACACTTCCAAACATATGTGTGAAACATATGCAACACCCAGATAAAACAAATGCAATATACGTTTGAAGCAACTGAAATATTTGAAATAATACACTTGCAACACACGTATATAGCCACTGCAACATATGCAACATCCACATGAAACACTTACACCTTGCAACATGAAAACACTTGCTGCAACATAAGACTAAAAACAGATGAAACATACTCTTGCAACGTTTACAACATCCCAATCTATTTTTACAACATCCATATGAAGCACTTGCAACATAACTCTAAAATATTTGAAACCATTGAAACATGTGCTTTCAGCGCAGCGCAACATCTACTTGTTGCTCAGGAGAATGGAGGCTCGTCGACGTGTGGAGTTCACTGGAGGCAGCGGCCCAGCGGTGCTTGGAGGCAGCGACCCAACAACGGTGGCTACACGACATGGAAGGGAGACATCGGACGCGCGACATGGAAGGGAGGCATCGGCCTCGCGACACAGCTGGAAGGCAGCGTCCGCATGACTTTGAGAGGGCAGCAGCACGCTGGCCTGGCAGGGACGGCAGTCGAGCGCCGAGTGTGTTGTGCCTAGCAGGTCCAGTGGCCGAGCGTTGCGCCTTGGAACTGGCTCGTTGGCTCGCTTGTCTTCGTGCCACCGTGAGCTCGCCTCTGTGAGAAGCTCTCCTGCCTCCACGTCGTCACTCACGCGGGTCGCTGGCCTCGCGACGTCGTGCATGAGCGATTGCCACCGGAGCTCGCCTGCCTCCGCGTTGACGCGAGCTTGCCTCTGCATGCCGCTGGGGCTTTCTTGCCTCTACGGGCGCCACGCTGCGGCTCACCGGCACGCGCACAGACCATCGGTGCTCGCTACTCTGTGTTGGATGCGCACAAGGGAGAAGATTGGAGAGAGAGAAAAGAGGGGCAAGGAAGCGAACGGATTGGATAGAAACTAGATGAGCAGAGTGCTGCGTTCGGAGGCAACAGGCGAGAGGATAGGTGCGATTGGAACGAGTTGATACGAATGAGTGGACGAGCAGTTTTGAGAAACGAAGGAGCGGAGGTTATTGGGCTAGTGACGCGGCCCACCAACGGAGCGTCCGGGCGGACGGATGCCCGCTTCCCAACATTATCGAAAATTTTAACATAATATGCCTCGCTTTACTACAGCCAATTAAATAGTAAAAGCCATTTCATTCTTGCCATTTAATCCTTTTGTTGTAATCCCGTCCAAAATAAATCAACTTTTAAAGTTGTCCTAAATCAAACATAGGTTTGATTAATATTATTGAAAAAACAACAACATTTATGATACCAAATTAGTACAGTTAGATTCATCATAAAATATACTTTTATAATATATTTATATGGTGTTACAAATAATGTTACTTTTTTCTACAAAGTTGATTAAATTTAAGATGGTTTGACTTTAGATGACTCTAGAGAGATTTATTTAGGGACGGAGGTAATACATGTCTACAATATGGAGTACCCATCCTTCTATAGAATCTAAACCAAGGATCACATTAAAGGGGAAGCTACAAGGTACCCCTTTGTCAAAAAAATATAGTTTTTGTTTTTTATCTCTACAACTAAAACATTCATAACTATTTCGTCCATAGGTGCGACACCAAAGTCACTCCATGCGATCAGATCAGGAAGGCAACACGCACTCGCTCTATGTGATCAGCTCAATCCACATAACAACCGCAGCAAATTAGGAAGTCAAAAATCAATTTCTAAAAAACCTCGTTTCGTCCACAACATACATTGTGTACGCGCTTGCCTCCGAGAATACGTTGATCGGTCTTGCCAAAAGGAAAATTCCGGACGCTCGCCCCCCAGGATATACGGTGCACGTGCATGCCCACATGCAAAATCCGGATTGGTCTTGGCCAAAAGAAAAATTCCAGATTAGTCTTAGCCTGTCCACGTGTAATCCGGATCGGACCACCTAAAAAGGGAGACAATCATTGTGTACGCGATCGCCACATCCACATAGATAGCTATCTTCTATCTATCTATCTATCTACAACTAAAAAATACCTACAGCTATCATCTGCATCACCCCGCCCCACGGCAAAAATAACATAGTAAAAGAAAACCAACCTCCCCGTTTCCAAACCGAAAAAATCAAATACGGCAAAAAAAAACGTTTTCGAAAAAAACATATACACAGCACAAAAAAAATCCGTTTCAGAAATAAACTCTTCCACATCCTGTTTCCAAAAAAAAATACGGCAAAAAAGAGTGCGAAAAAAGATACAGCAGAAAAAAACCATTTTAGAAACAAACTCTTCCACATCGAAAATCATATATAACAAAAAAACTGTTTCCAAAACAAAATATTCTACATCCAAAATCATATAAACGACTGATTATAGGCCGATGAAACCGATCAACGTGTTTGGCCTTGAAAAAACTTGGTCTCTTGACCTACTACGGTATCCAGTCCAATCAGCATCCGCGTCGCCTGTACTTAATAAATCCACGGACGTTTTCATGATGTTCTGGGGGAGGTAGTCGATGAACAGGCACGTTACTAGGCGCCTCGTCGTCTGGCACACATTGGCCCGCATAAGGTCGCATGCCTCCGTGGCGGTGGCCGGACACGGCGAAGACGAGGAGGAGTTGACCTGAGACACCTTCGAAGACAAGGAGGTGGTAGGCGGAGACATCGTTGACGACGGTGCAGAGGATGAAAAGGAGGTGCGGTGTATGTACTCGTAACTATCAGCGAAGTTGACGTCGTAGAGCGAGACGATGGTGAGGGCAAGCAGGACGCGCATAAGGACTAGTGTGGCAACGGTGACGGAGATCATTCATGACAACGGAGTGCCGTTGTGGAGCTTGATGGCCGTGAGGAGCGTACGTGAACGCAAACGACGAGAAAAAAAAATCCTTGCGGACAGACACTCCAACGTGAAAAAGAGGACAAGGATGTAGAGAGTAGATGAAAAGATAACATGGTTCCATATATGTATATAAAAAAGAAACTTAGAAATAGTTTAGGGTCACCAATATAAATTTGTGTATTAATTTTTTATTATTTTCTGAAAATAATCAAATTTGTCATCGTAGATGCGCGCGAGTAAAAATATGGCCTCCGTGCAACGCACGGGTATATATCTAGTTTTAGAGTCAAATGATTTGAACTTTGATCAAAATTATACTAAAAGTACTAACATTTATAATATACAATAGGTATCATTAGATTAATTATGGATATATTTTTATAATAGACCTATTTAGAGAAATTTGGTTAAACTTAAATTTATTTGACTGACACGAATCTTATAATTATATATTTTTTGGAACGGAGGGAGTACCGTTTACAGGATTGTAGCCGTTCGCATTTGAAGTTGTGTTTTACTGCTTTTTCACCGGATAGGTCAACGCTTGAGAGATGTGTACTCCTTTGTGTTTTCATAAAGGGATGCCTCTAGAAACTCGGATCCCGTGTTGGAACTTGCGGCAGAGGAAGTTCACAAAGCAGGAACACCATCTACGGACGGACCATATGCAGCTCTGCTCCAAGCCAATAGCAACAGAGGAAGCACTGACCTGACCTGGTAACGCAGCTTCAAATAAGAGACCAATTATTGCATATCTCGATCGTTTCTGGTAGAATTAGTTTTGGATCTTCTCTTGGCCCCAAGTCAGACTTCACCAGCACTTCGATAACGAAGGAGGCGACCGATGGGGCCTTCCAGTTTCTTCGTGTGTAGTGCCATGTGAATTGGAACAAAACACGCATCATTTGCATGCCATGCTAAGCCGTGTATACGGGCTAAGCGATGCTTATAAATACTCATCAACGGGCGCTGTAATCCTCTATGAGAGTACAAAAAAGTTGTGTCCAAAAGGTTTTTAAATGTTTGAAATTTTTGCACACCAAATTATAGGCAATATTGTGGAAGACAGTAACATCTGACCGTGATGTTACGCTGTGTTTAGTTCCAAAATTTTTTCTCAAAAAGTGTTACAGTATCCATCACATCGAATCTTGCGATACGTGCATGGAGCATTAAATGTAGACAAAAAAAAA